CTACACACACACACACACACACACACACACACACACACACACACACACACACACACACACACACACACACACACTTGATTTCTTTAAACTAAAGCTAACCTCAGTTTCTGCTTTTCACAAAGTAACCCCCTCCAGCCATTTCTTTAATTGCCTTTCCCATAGGAAATCGTCATCCGCATGCACAAATGGGGCGAGAACCCCACCCCATCTAGTGGCAATAAAAACAGCGAAGCACCATAGCGAAGACGAGATGTGCCAGCTTCAACCCCCACCTAGCTTGTGCACTAGTTCAGTACAAAAGTGTCTTTGAGGCCTTTTGCCGTTTGATGGCTTGACATGTGTAAAGCATAGCTCCAAAGTACATGTAAACTTGCGGCTCCCGTCATGACTCTCTCCTAGGTTTCCTTTTGGTATCCGTAGACAACGAGAGGCTGTGTCGAGTGCATCAAGGTTACTAATTAATTAGCTTTTATTATGGTCCCTTCTTGCAATCTGAAAATTTGCCTAGTCTGCTGGTTAGTAGAGAGCACTACTGAACCCTTCCACTTTATAACATAGTGGGGTCCCTTGGATACCAATACTTTGGTGATGAGCCCTTTGCTACACTGGCACTTACCAAAAGCGTAATAATCGGAACCGTTATGCTAATGTGGCTTTACCATGTCCATTAGCTTGTAATGTGCTTCCCTTTGATTTCATGTTAAACACTTTGTGCATAAATAGGATATCCTTTATTGGTTATTTCTATTCATAGAACGGCTTTTGGCAATTTTCACCTTAATTTATCATAAGCGTTACAAAAAACCCCAAACAAAAACTGTATGTATTGGTGGTTAGCCTGTGCCGGCCCCAGATGCTAAGAGTAGCAGTACTTGCCTCTGCTTTAGATAACACCCTTGTAAACCTTTGTGTCTGTCCAGTTTAAACAGCAGCTTTTCGAGATTGATTTTAAGATCCCAGCCCAGAGATCTGGTGTGTCTTCATCCCAATGGGTGGTGGTTGTTTTATTTTTTGGAAGGGCTTAAAGTGAGGAAGCAAGTAAAAACAGTTCCCAAACTGTAGGCTGTCATCTCTGGAAATGGGCACATCTACAGAGACGCTGCCCATGCTCTCGTCTCGTAGTAATTCTGTGATCTTGGCAGCACTGAACTGATTGCGATATTCTGACACATCTCTGAAGCAAGAGGAGCTTTTCTTTACTCCAAATAAATACTTCAGGAGTAAGGAATATATTTCACAACCACTGTTTCTCGCCCCCTTAACTAATGTTCTGTTGGCTTCAGACTGCAAGTTGTAGAAATCTTACTATTTTCCCATGCCATAGACCTATAAGATTGTATTTATACCTTGAAAGGCTTTCAAAGAAAAAAACCCTGCCATCTGGCTGCTAACATAGTTATTCATATATGTTGTCCCCACCCCGGGCCCTTTGGGCTATAGGAGTTGTATGTCAGTCCGTGGCAATCTGGTTTGAAACACTGCTATCCGTTGGTGGTTGCGGATGCATTCTGGGGCTAGTATCTGTAATGGCGTCTTGAATCGCATTTCGAGAAAAGTGCTTAGCGTTGAAGCTGGTGCCGGGCGACAGTGCATCTGGGTAAGGCAAATGAGAGGCAGTGAGGTGATCTCCGAATGGCATTGATGTGATCAGATTGAGGTCAGGGGTTCACACTAGAGTCCCAGGCTTGGCTTTTTCCTGTCCATACCACTGGACATCTGCTAGTTCTGGATAGAGGGGAGAATCCAGGAAACAGCTATCGTTGTAGCTCCTACAGAAGAAAGGAGACTGCCATTAGAATGAATGCTGCCGCAAGAGTTCATGCACAAATTCAACCACAGACACACCACCATGTGACAAGAATGGGAAAGGAAAGAAAATGCAACATGTTCATTGGCACTTTGGGTTGGTGTTGTTTCTGCAGACAATCATGGAGCTGGCAACTGGGGCCGATTCAGCAAGAAGGAGCCACCCAGTAGTCCTCTCCAGAACAGCTCACCTCTGTGGAAGCAGTACTGGGTGAACAGTTCTCGCTCAGATCTCTCCATGCCAGTTAAGCTAATTTCTCTGGACAAAACTGAGTTCAAATGGCATTTCCTGGCCCCCTCCTCACAAAGGAATGCACAGAATTGTATATCTGTCTCATTGTCCCCATTTAGAGGTAAAGTGAAGCCTCTAGTCAGTAGCATCTGTTCTCATGGGTGCTTTTCATATGACTGATGGCTGAAAGGACAGGGGTCATGTCTAGTGCAAAAGTACATGCACCAATACTTGTTTCTACATGCATTCGTCCCTAAATGAGATGGTGGATGAGTGGCTAGAGCAGGGGTTCTCAAACTGGGGGTTGGGACCCCTCAGGAGGTCGTGAGGTTACTACATGGGGGGTCACGAGACGTCAGCCTCCACCCCGCTTGCCTCCAGCATTTATAATGGTGTTAAATATATAAAAAATGTTTTTAATTTATAAGGGGGGGTTGCACTCAGAGGCTTGCTGTGTGAAAGGGGTCACCAGTATAGAAGTCTGAGAACTCCTGGGCTAGAGGGAGAACCCTCTCTACCAGAGCATAAAGTGTGGGTATATTTGCTTATCTGTATATACACATGCAATTTTATATGTGCACTGGTTCTCTCTCACATTCTAGCAGCAGCCACTGACGTCTCATCCCTCATAAGTAGGAGGTTTTTCCCTTGGAGTGATTCTCTGTCGGGTGCTTTTCTCTCCTCTGCCTAGGGGCCAGAGTTGGAGGATTGTGCGCTTGGCCATTGAGATGGGGGAATAAAACCTTGCTTCTTTTAAGTGACTGACTTGAAGGGGAGTGGAAGGACCTGTGCTGTCATCTCAGTGCTTCCCTGCAGCACCTCTCAAGCATAGCTACTGAAATGTGAAAACCTTGGTCAGGGCTGAATCTCTGACTAGGACAAGTGGACCTTGGAAATCATTTAAATAAGATAGGCCAGGAAACTTGTGGCCAGACCTCCTGATGGCTTTTTTCCATCTGCGACTTCACGAAGAAGAGGCTCACGCTAGCATATAGGATCAGAGACATTAACGTTGTTGTGTGATGACAATGGCTTTTTGGTGACCGGAGGAAGGTCTGATGGAGCATGATGCTGTGGCATCTCGGTGTTGTGATGTTACACACTTGATGAATGATGCATCACAACATAATGCCACCACCACCTCACAATGTAAAGGTCTCATGGTGACACACTGGGATTGCCCTGTCACACTGACTTTCAAAAGCTTCATAGTGTGTTCCTGTTCAGTTAGCGAATACCTTATATTTGGGGCACGTCTACAGCAGACAAGGAAACTGTTGCTGGCGTACTGACGGCATAAATAGTTCATTGCCTTGCTAAGTTCCCTGTTGCCCATTCCCAGCTTCTGACAAACAGAGGCTAGGGACACCATTGCTGCCCATCCTGGCTAATAGCCATTGATGGACCTATCCTCCATGAACTTACCCAGTTCTTTTTTGAACCCTGTTAGTTTTGGCCTTCACAACATCCTCTGGCAAAGAGTTCCACAGTTTGACTGTGCATTGTGTGAAGAAATACTTCCTTTTGTTTGTTTTAAACCTGCTGCCTATTAATTTCATTTGGTAACTCTTAGTTCTTGTGTTACGAAAAGGAGTAAATAACCCTTCCTTATTTACTTTCTCCAAATCAGTCATGATTTTATAGATCTCTATCATATCCCCCCTTAGTCGTCTCTCTTCCAAGCCGAAAAGTCCCAGTTTTATTAATCTCTCCTCATATGAAAGTTGTTCCGAACCCCTAAACATTTTTGTTGCCCTTTTCTGAACCTTTTCCAAGTCCAATATATATTTTTTGAGATCGGATAACCATATCTACACGCAGTATTCAAGATGTGGGCATACCATGGATTTATATAGAGGCAATATGATATTTTCTGTCTTATTATCTATCCCTTTCTTAATGATTCCCAACATTCTGTTAGCTTTTTTGACTGCCGCTGCACATTGAGTGGATATTTTCTGAGAACTATTCACAATGGCTCCAAGATTTCTTTCTTGAGTGATAGCAGCTAATTTAGACCACATGAATTTATATTTATAGTTGGGATGTGCATTAGTTTGCATTTATCAACATTGAATTTCATCTGTCATTTTGTTGCCTAGTCACCCAGTTTTGTGAGATCCCTTTGTAACTCTTCGCAGCCTGCTTTGGTCTTAACTATCTTGAGTAGTTTTGTATCATCTGCAAAATTTGCCACCTCACTGTTTACCCCCTTTTCAAGATAATTTCTGACTATGTTGAACAGTACTGGTCCCACTTCAGACCCCTGGGGGACACCACTATTTATTTCTCTCCATTCTGAAAACTGACCATTTATGCCTACCCTCTGTTTCCTATCTTTTAATGGTTAACCAGTCCATGAGAGCTTACCCCATGACAACTTACTTTGCTTAAGAGCCTTTGGTGAGGGACCTTGTCAGAGGCTTTCTGAAAATCTAAGTACACTGTATCCACTGGATCCCCCTTGTCCACATGCCTGTGGACCCCCCTCAAAGAATTCTAGTAGATTGGTGAGGCATGATTTCTCTTTACAAAAACCATGGTGACTCTTCCACAACAAATCACATTAGCCTATGTGTCCGATAATTCGGTTCTTTACTATAGTTTCAACCAGTTTGCCTGGTACTGAAGTTAGGCTTACTGGCCTGTAATTGCCAGGATCACCTCTGGAGCCTTTTTAAAAAATTGGTGTCACATTAGCTATCCTCCAATCATCTGGTATAGAGGCTGATTTAAATGATAGGTTACATACCACAGTTAGTAGTTCTGCAATTTCACATTTGAGTTCCTTCAGAACTCTGGGCTGAATACCATCTGGTCCTCATGACTTATTAGTGTTTAATTTATCAGTTTGTTACAAAACCTTTTAGATTTTATCTTCATAGCACTCCTGTGAGCTAGGGCAGAATTATCCCCATTTTACATATGAGGAATGGAAGCACAGGGCAGATTACAATGACTGGCCTAAGACTGCATAGGAAGCCTGTGGCTGAGTCGGGAATTGAACCTAGGTCTCCTGAGACTTAAGCCACCCTTCATCTCCACAGAAACATCCCCCAGCACTTTGTCCCGACTGCTTTGAAATGACTCGAGCAAAGGGGCTTCCCTTGCTACCCTTGGCTAGCCGTGCTTATCCACTTGCATTCCCATCCCAACTGGCGTGAAGCCTGCCTTCATAGGGAAAACTAAGAGCTACAGACTTGCTGAAAGGGCCACCCACATAGGCCAAAGCTTGCAAATGCTTCCAACTTGCTCTTCCAGGAGCTGAGCAAAGCCTTGCTGTCACTATCCAAATGTCCACACAACCCAAACGTCCGCTCCTTATGGATACTGGGGTGTCAAAAATCATTTGCAGAGCACACGTTAAAGGGAAGAAGGATGAAAGAACAAAACATTCCCTTACTATACCTCTATTCATCAGTACTTTGGTGAGTTGGAGACTGAGACTCATCCATAGTGGGTGAGTTGTCTGTTGCTTCTCTGAACAAAGGAGAGCGCCAAGGGAGGAAACAGTAAAGAGGAAATGTTAAAGAAAAGAAGTGACACACATTGTTAAGAGCTTATTAATACAGTGGGAAAACAAGTTGATGAGTCACCTTAAGACAAAAGAGTTAGTGACATAAGAAGACATGTCAGGCAGAATTTCAAGCCTTTGATTCATGCTGGGAAATATCAAAATGCATTGCTGTGATGGCCAAGTCTGTATTCTGCACCTGGTAACAAATTGTATTTGCCTCTTTTTAAATTTTGTTTCCCTAATGGTTTTGTCATTTTACTCAGGCATGAAACCAATAATGGATTCATCTGTTTGATTCCTTTTTGCACAAGATGTTGGTCCAGATCCTCAAATGATGTAGCTCTCCATAGCTCCATTTCCACCAGCTGAGGATCTGGCCTGATATATTTTTTGTTGCATGAGGCTGGGAGGAGAAGTTCTGGTGCATGGAAGATGGAGAGGAAAACTAGGAGACTTCTCAACTGGTTTCAGATCATATTACTTGTATTCAGGGTAGGGATGTGCTGAGGAAGATGATTACAATGAGGGCTGAGGCAGAATCAAGGCTACTGCTTGGGCTCAGATCCATACCTTGAATGGGGCAAATCTCAGCAGTTCATTTCTGTCATTTTGGAGTCTTGCAATACTTTGGCTGCCTCTGAACTGGAACCAATAAAAATACCCACTCCAGTTTTGGACCGGACCCAAACCCACAACTGTTAGTATGGGTTTGGGGGCCAAGAATTTGAATTTGAGCATGCTGAAAGGCAGACATACTTGTTTAAGGATCTGAGGTTCTGTTTTTATCCCCCAGCTTTGTTTTCCAAGCTCCATTTTCTCTTACTCAATGTCTTCTGGGTTATTGTTGCCATAAAACCAAATGTCATGTGTGGACGTCTTTGTTTATACTGGAGCATCTACAAGTGTCGTGACTGTTGATTAAAAAACATTTTTTTTTACTCTTGTAAAATCAAATATTTGGGTACAGGAGAGTGACACAGAGGTAGACTAGAGTAAGAAATTCAAGACCCACCAGTGTTTTTCCTCTGCCATGACCGTGGGATAAGCCCACCACATCTTAGTTCACTGCTCCTAGAGGACCATTACAAATGGCTCAAGGTCTCTGCAACCCTAGGGCAGCAGGTCTCAAACCATGTTCCCTGAAGACTCTCCTGGTGTCTTCACAGAACACAACATTGTGAGAATCAAGCACTGGGATATGGGGTGCTGTGTAGAGCCAGGAAAGGGCCCCTGTTTTACCCAGCTTACAATGTAGGCAGCAGAACGGAAACTCTGGAGAACCAGTGCCCTTGGGGAAGCTTCCTTCTGATCCTTGAACCATGTGCCTCTGAGCAACCTTCCGGATGTGTGCAAGAGTTACCATAGACTAGCGTCTCATGTTTATACTGCAAGATTCCATTGATGCCTGAGAGACAACCACAATGGCATTCATAAAGAAAATTCAACGTTAGTGCTCCATACAGCATGGGGAACATAGGTGGTGTCTACACAGCTTTTGCAGACATGCTCCCACCACTGCTTGGACGCTGGTGCTAGCACTGGTAGCAGATTGTATGCGAATGACAGACGGATGCAAATGCTGAACCAGTCTAAATTAGGGGTTTCCCCATTGCTAGAACTGCACTAATGCTAGACCAATGGTGAGCAAATATCTGAAAATGTTCTGTGTAGATTATAGGCCATTGAATACCTGAGAGTGTTCCTGTGCCCAGACCTATCCTCTTTCACCAGTGTCTTCTCCTTGCACTGTATAGCAAGGCACAGTACTAGAACTTGTTTTCCGCCTCAAGTGCCTAAACGATTGCGATCATCTACCTAAAGGTTAAATCAAATCTACATTTCATACTTTAAGGCAACTCTGGCATGCCGAAGCCTAGAACCTGCTTCAGCATCCAGGATGGTGGTTTTGGAGTGGCTAGAAAAAACTGCGGAAGACCAAGGAATGGTAATCCTCTAACTCTGCCTCCCGAGACTCACCCAGTCTGCCATGCTACGATGTGGTGGGGACTGCTTGGTGGTGTAGCTGCTAGTTCACTAGATGGTGTTGAACTCCTCTGGCTGTGAGGTAAGGCAGCTAAAAGTGAGGGGAAAAATAACCAGTTAGACAAGGAGAACAGGGTTAAGGACTTCCAGCACTGTCAGCTCATCAGAGCAGAAGAAACACGGCAACCGCCCAGGAGTTGGAACATCCCATGTACAAATGGATCTCGGCACGTACCGGTACTCCCTGAGCAGCACAGCTGCTGTGCAAATGGCCAGCCAGCAAACTCCTGACTGCGTCTGCTGCACGCACATGTGCCTGGCTCTGCGTTCAGATGCCTGGGGAACATTTTATCCCAACCCAGCCTCCGACTGTGTGTGATTATATGGGCTGAAGATCCTTCCCCATCTACCAAACTCCCCGCAACCAAGAGTGGGAAATACCCAGTCCCTCAAAACATGAAAACAAATCAATGTTTTATTGCCATTTGAACCCACAGGACCCTCGTGCCGTAGCAGTGGCTGGGCACCTGTCCCTCCACAGGAGCTGAAATGAAGGAGCAAAGCCAGCCTTGCATCTTTGTTGTCTCATTTCAGAGGCTTCACAGGCAGCTCAGAGACCATGGGAGGAGTTCTGTGCTAGTAGCCGTCAGGCTGCTAGCTGGGAGCTTCCAGGCATATATACTACTTGCTGTACAAAGAACAGCTCCATAGATTTCAAAGCCCAAAGATGTTTTTGGCCATGCACTAGTAGTAAGATTCATTTAAATGTGGCTACCATGAACTTATTAGCATGAGCCAAAAGTGGGCTGATCTTTGTTAATTTTCATAGAATATCAAGGTTGGAAGGGACCTCAGGAGGTCATCTAGTTCAACCCCCTGCTCAAAGCAAGACCAAGCCCCAGACAGATTTTTGCCCCAGATCCCTAAACGGCCCTTCAAGGATTGAACTCACAACCCTGGGTTTAGCAGGCCAATGCTCAAACCACTGAGCTATCCCTTCCCCTCATTTTATGTTAATGACAGAATCTACAACATCGAGACAAACACTGTGGGCTGTAGTCCACGAAAGCTTATGCGCTAATAAATTTGTTAGTCTCTAAGGTGCCACAAGTACTCCTGTTCTTTGTACTGTAGGAGTGGTTTTACAAGGCATTTCTGCTTTAAGGATCTATTTGAGAAACCCCTCTTTTGGTCATTCTATTCCAATGCGCAGATCCCTGGAACAGTGACCTCTCCAAATCTGACATGCTCAGAAGCATAGTCGTCTTTGAAGGACACTGTGGGGTCCGATAGACATTTTAGAGCCATGGCTGATCCGTCCAATGATTGATGCTTCTAACTAACACTCTCCCACAAGTTGTTAAATTCCTTACCTGCGGTTAAATAACACTTAAAAAGAAGACAGAAGCAAAGTCTAATCTGTTCCTTACAAGTGAAAGCCCCATGGGCCACTATTATCCCATCATCACAATGGGGACTGGCTTTTAAAACAGGACTAGGTCCATACTGGCATGGTTGGTGAAAGCGATTTACAGCTGGGGCAACTAACAAATGAGGCAACGATTTTTGGTTTCACTACAGACGCCCCCCTGGGTTACGCAAACCTGATTTACACAAATCTGCACTTATGGAAAAAGTTCTGTACGCTAGAAATAGTTTTTTTGTTTTTTGCGTAATGGTCAGGTATCCATTTCCGACTTTCGCAAAATTCGAGTTATGCAAGGCGTTCCGAAACGGAATGCTTGCGTAAGTTGGGGAGCGTCTGTACTAGCATTTTCTTTCTTAGATGCCCCAATTATCTGAAGTGATAGTATTTCCAAAATGGGTCTTTACAGCTCAGGAGGATAAGCACGTTAATTAAATTTTAGGTACTTCCTGCTTCTGTTTGGGGCAGAAATACCAAAAGGTCCCGGAACTTCCCATCAAAAAAGGAATAAAAGAAAGTTTGCAGAGCAAAGAGAGCTGGGGTGGTTCAGGTGAGTGATAATGGACTGTAAAGCCTTTTGCCATTAAATCTTCGGCTCAGACAAATCCAGCTATCATTTAATATGAATATTAGAGGAAAGGCCAGAGGCCCAAACAGGATGGGGCTCCACTGTGTTAGGTGCTGTACAAAGATATGGCCCTACTTTATAGAGCTTACAAGATTACAAGCAAGCACCTCTCGTAGTTGTACTGAAGGTATTGTATGAATCGAGGATCTCAGCCTTCAACCACTCACCCAAGTCTTTTTTAGTGGGGCCACTTGAACTTTATTTTAAGGAACTGTGCTTTTTTTGCCATAACAGATAGTCTTATGTTCCTAATGGAACACTGATTAAATGCTTTACTCTTCTATGTATTTACAGGGAAAAATCAACTTCTCTTGAGTTTTCCTACGTTTTTCCTCATGGCTCACTTTAACGGACCCTGCCTACAGTGATAAACCTAACGTGATACTTAGGATCAGCCCCCACAAATGGGCTTTTTCGCTGCTACCACTCTAAAGGCCTGATCCAAAGCCTATTGAAGTCAATGGAAACATTCCCATAGATTTCTGGAGGCTTTGTCTCAGGCTCTGGGGATCTGTCTCCTAGCTCTCTGAAGAAGTCATTCACGATGGATGAGCTCCAGGGGACAAACCCTCAGCCGATGACGCTCTCTGATAAAGTTCACTCAGTGCTAATCCCACCATCCTACATGCCTGTGCTTCGCATTGTGCTATGTTCACAAAAGGACAGGGGACGCAGGCTGGTCTGGTTTCATTCATAAATTACCAAAGCGCAATGCAGGCATTAGATAGCTAAGAGCAAACTTGGATCTGCTTCCCAAGGGGTTGGCTCTCACCTGATGTTGCTTTACACATTTGAGGCATCCTCGTTACCCTGCTGTGTGCCACAAAGGTGCTTTGAGAAGATGTGCTGTATTGGGAGCTGCTGTCCGAGGAGGTGGAGCTGGTGTGCGACAGGCGGCTGTGCTCCTTGTGGGAGGCTGTGGACCGCTGGTACCACAGCCGGAGTTCGTCTGATACTGCAGTCCTGCCCGAGCCCTTCTCGTGGCCTTCTCTGCCCAGAGATGGCGTCCTTATGATCTGAGAACGGGAGGGGGTTAGTCTTATCGAGTCCACTTCGTCCCCGTGCCAGGTCTCTTTAAACATCCCCCCTGCCGTGTAGGAGTTGGAGGTTTTAAATTGTGCTTTCACGCTGTAGTGTCCCTCCTGGTCGTTCTCCAGGCTGCGCACCACCACGGGCGTGGAGCTGCCTTCGATGTACAGGGGGTACTCTTTGATCCTGTACTGAGAGGAAGGCTGGCTCTGGCTGTGCAGGTAGACCCCGGGGTGCCCGGTTCCGTTCCTTGCCGCCAGGTTGGGCATGCTCCCTGAATTAGAAGAGACCAGGTTTCCTGCAGATTTGTGCCTTTGCCTCTGCCGCTCTCTGGCTTTTGAGGGGGAATCCTCGGCCAGGGTGGAGTAGTTGGCGTTCATCTGAGCAGGGTAGTAGTGCTCAGAGCTGGAATGGCTGGTGCAGGAAGAGCAGTCGTCCATGGGGTCAGAGCCATTACTGCTACGAGTCCTTGGGGTGTAGAAATCGGGGCTCCCCGTCTCGTTCTCTGACCCAAGGAGCTTGCCTTGTGACTCTAAGCTGGAGCTTCTGTGTCTAAAGTGCTGAGCTAGGCTGTGCAGTCTGGTTGGGCTGATGTCTACTGACCTGCAGGTGTCAGGAAGACAGGTTTTGAGTCTGCTTGGTTAACAAAACACGCGGGGTCTTTTTTTAGCTTTTAAGACCAAAACAGCACACGCCCATCAGTGCAAATACACAGAGCTAAGCCTGAGAGGTGCTGAGTGCTCACAACTCCCCCCAACTCCAACAACCCCAGGCAGGATACGGGGCATACCATGTGGGCATGTTAGTGCAGGACTTGAAGTAGATGTACCCCTCTGAGGTGAACTTCCCACCTCCCTGCCCAAAGCCAGAGCAAGTGGGCTTTATGGCGGGGAACTAAGCAGAGTTATGGGGTTGGACTCCCCAGGCAGCTTGTGGGGCTGCAGTCCCGCTGATTGCTGTGGGTTGAAAAAGCGGCCAACTCTCCCTCCACATTCCCTGTGTGCGGATTTGGGGCCACGAGGTCCAAATAGTGAGATCCTCTGGCTCCTCCCCAGCCTATTTGGAGTCAGCCTGGCACCCCCTTTCTGCAGCACCCGGGGACAGAAGCCTCCCAGCATGGTTGCCCCACTAGCCACCTCCCTGGGCAATCCCCACCATCGCGTATAAGTGGTGCAGAGGGCACTGCCCCCGGTTGAGTTTCACCAGCACAGCGGCAGGGAACACGGAGTGCTGTGGATCTGTGCAAACCTTTCCTTTGGTTTCTGTTCTTGGGATTCCATACCCTCTCCCCACTGCTTTGCAATGTGGGGGGTCCAGCGACCCACAAAGCGCCGCCCCAAACTGAGGTGCGCTTCCTTTGCGGTCAGGTAGCTTACGAAAGCATTGCAGGCCTTTCCTCGTGTTCACCGTGACACTGGGTAGTCAAGGCCAGCTCATGCAGCACCATCCCACAGGGAATGAATGTTTTTCTGCTCCCAGCTCAGAAGAACCACCTCTATTAAGCAGCTATGCTTTGCTGATCTCTTGAGTGGCTTTAGAGCTCAAGACGGTCACAGTATGACTGTCCTTCAGGCGAACGCCCAGATTTGCATGTGCAGAAGGGTGTCGATTCACATCCAAATCTGGGTGGCCTTTATTCATGCTGGATGGGCTCATCCCCTGTTCATAAAGTTTCAGTCAGCCACTCAAGGCACAGAAATGATACCATGTGACCAATCAGACCCACCTCTACTTGGTCCCTCAGATGTTTCCCTTTAGACGGGCTTTTCGGCATGCCCAGTTCACTGGAGCAGTGGTTTAACACTACCCAATCTTTCGTGTCCAAAAGGAAAGGGTCATTCCCTACCCTTAACTTGAGCACTGATATTATCACCTTGTCACTTTCAAAGAGTGGCTTGGAGGTTGTAATGGCCACGAACAGTCAGAACCTTTGGTTAAGATCTCACCCAAAGGACTTGGTCCATTTTAGTTTTTTTTTCATTTGAAGTAAGTTGAGGATTCAAGCCCTGATTCAGGAACGAATCCCCACCGAGGAGAGCGCTTCCTTCCTGAATTGAGGCCTCTTGTCTTTAAAGCGTGAAAACAAAAAAATACTTTTGCGTCACCGAAGGGAGGCGAGTTGTTTTGGGAGCAGCAGGACTTACCTAGTGGAATGGACATAATGCGGACTGCGTACCCGTAGATCTGGTGTAGATGGCATGCTGGACTGGGAATTCCAATGCGGGAGGCTCCTGATGGGGCTATTTTGCAGAGAGCTGCTCCCTCCAGCCTCTGCACAGCTTCCTGTGCTGGGGAACCGCTTATGACTGCTGCAAAGCAAACGCTGCATTTCAGACTTCAGACAGAAACGCTCTACACCTAGGACCTGGAGTCTATGGGCCAAATTCAGATCTCAGTTACACACATCCCGCTGAAGCGAATGGAGTTCCACTCACGTAACTGATCTGAATTGTTTTTTACAGTAACGAAAGTTCAAGCACAAGCTCTTACGAAGATTCGGCGGAAGTTTCAGTGAGAGGCTGTTGTCTGTCCTCTCCAACTGCCTTTTAAAATAACAATCAGATACTGACCAGCACTTTGTGTGATTATAGCTGTTACGATCTTTAGGGCATGATTATTTACCCAAACAGCTAAATATCATTCAAGTGAGCGATGTTTCTGCCATGAGATTTGGGAAGAGTTTTCATTATATAGGTTCAGGTTAAATACAACCACTCTCTCTCTCTCTCTCTCTCACACACACACACATGGCATAACCAGAAAACGCCCGTCATTACCATACCAAATGGGCATCTACAAAAAGGAGGATGTTTATGTAGTTGGCAATCTCCAACTGTCTGACTCACCTGGAATGACTGTGTGAGGAGCGTTTCTTGACCTTCTCATAGGGTTCATCCAGGGATGATTCGCTCCACATCTTGGGCTTGATAGGGGACTTGTCATAATCATTCCGGTGGTAGTGCATTTGTCTGAGTCCTTCCAATGACTGTGGAGGAGGTGGTCTGTTATGTAGGGGCGGCCGGGGAGGGAGTCCTTTGTGAGGTGACTGTAAGGGGGATATTGTGCTGGTAACCTGAGAATCCTCTGCGAAGAGAAACAAGGAGAGCAGCTGATGCTTTTGAAGGACACTAGGCTGCAGTGTGGCTTTCCCCCAGCATGCCCAAGATTACCACTTGGCTACAGTGCAGCAGACAGAGATGCTTTTTCTGAGCATGAATTATATGGTAATGAACTTAGGGCCTGATTTTAAGAAGTGTTCCAGTAGATCTTCTAGTTCAATGTTTCTCAACTGATGGTGGAAGGGTGGCGGTCATGAAAGGCAATTGGGAGGATAATAAACTTTTCAATACAAAGCAAAGCAAATAAAACTCTTCTAGACCCGTGTGTACCACAGTTTGGCCGCTTTCATGTTTGTGCCAGCAATCCTCTCCGATTCTCCCTTCCCCCCACTCTGCACACATCTTTCCCCTTCAAGGTCAAGTATTCGCTGTTAACCTCTTGAAAAACATACCCCAATTAAATAGGCTTAGCACTGTTCTCATGGACACATTTACTGTAAAAGAGTAAAAAATGTAAGAGGGGATGCAAATAGCTTTGGACTTTGACTCAGGGATCACCAACCGGGAAAGGTTGAGCTACATTCCTCTAGTTCAAACACAAGTTATTGGACTTGATATAGGAATCACGGGGTGATCTTCTCCAGCCCGTTTTATGTAGGAGGTCAAACTAGAGCATCCCAATGGTCTCCCTTCTGGGGGAGCTATGGATGCTCAACGCCTCTGAAAATCAGGCCCTTAGTGTGAGTCATATGCCCTATTCCGCCAACTAGGAGGTCTTAAGGGGTTGCAGATTTGTTATAATATGCATGAGCCTTTTCCTACAGAATACGTACTTATTTCTATTTCTGTACTTTATATATAATTAATAAAACCTTCAAGGGGGGTTTGATGGAAGGTGTTTGAAATTATCTGCTCTCAAATGGCAAGGACAGTGTTGTTGTAGCCATATTGGTCGCAGGATATTAGACAGACATGGTGGGTGAGGCAGTATCTTTTATTGGACCAACATCCGTCGGTGAGAGAGACAAGCCTCCAAGCATACACAGAAGAGCTCTGGGTAAGCTCGAAAGCTTGTCTGTCTCACCAACAGAAGTTGGTCCAATAAAAGATATCACCCACCTCGTCTCTGTGAACTGGCACTGGCATACAGGGGCACAGGCATACAGGGGATTTCCTCCATTTTCAGGGGGATGCAGTCATCCTTCCCTTTACTATGCAAGGTTTCTAGGTCTGAGATGGACAACGTACCATCCTCAAGAACAAGGGCATCTGAGAGGGAGCTATCTTCACTGGCGATGTTTCCTTCTGAGGAGAAGAAAAAAAACAATCAAAGGGCTATTAATATCACTGTGGTTTAACATTGAATCGCAATAGAATCTTCCCCAGTTCATAAAACACAGTCGTCCCTTGTTCTCCACACTACCAAGAAGCAGTACGATTTCTATTAATATAGGCCAGTTTACTCATAAGAACGTAAGAATGGCCATACTAGGTCAGACCAAAGATCCATCCAGCCCAGTATCCTGTCTACCGACAGTGGCCAATGCCAGGTGCCCCAGAGGGAGTGAACCTAACAGGTAATGATCAAGTGATCTCTCTCCTGCCATCCATCTCCACCCTCTGACAAACAGAGGCTAGGGACACCATTCCTTACCCATCCTGGCTAATAGCCATTAATGGACTTAACCTCCATGAATTTATCTAGCTCTCTTTTAAACCCTGCTATAATCCTAGCCTTCACAACCTCCTCAGGCAAGGAGTTCCACAGGTTGACTGTGCGCTGTGTGAAGAACTTCCTTTTATTTGTTTTAAACCTGCTGCCCATTAATTTCATTTGGAAGCCCTTAGTTCTTATATTATGGGAACAAGTAAATAACTTTTCCTTACTCACTTTCTCCACACCATTCATGAGTTAATATACCTCTATCATATCCCCCCTTAGTCTCCTCTTTTCCAACTTGAAAAGTCCTAGCCTCTTTAATCTCTCCTCATAAGGAACCCGTTCCAAACCCCTAATCATTTTAGTTGCCCTTTTCTGAACTTTTTCTAATGCCAGTATATCTTTTTTGAGATGAGGAGACCACATTTGTATGCAGTATTCAAGATGTGGACGTACCATGGATTTATATAAGGGCAATAAGATATTCTCCATCTTATTCTCTATCCCTTTTTGAATGATTCCTAACATCCTGTTTGCTTTTTTGACTGCCGCTGCACACTGCATGGACGTCTTTAGAGAACTATCCATGATGACTCCAAGATCTCGTTCCTGATTAGTTGTAGCTAAATTAGCCCCCATCATATTGTATTATACTCAGTCCTTACTGAGGCAGAACTCAGGGCAAAGCCTGAGGAAAAACTCCAAGCCAGCTCCCTTGACATGCTGAGCTCCCTCCTGGGAGTTGCTGAGTGCCTTCAATTCCCACTGATATCAGTGGGCGCTAGGACTGAGTCAAAACTGAGAGCCCAGATCCCCAGAGGGTGTAATGGAGCTACACCAATTTACACCAGCTGAGGATCAGGCCCTACAGAGCTCAGGATTTGGCCACCCCTTACACGTAGGAATTTACCATTCAGTTGCCAATTAAAAACAAACACAAGGTGCTATGAGTGTAGGACATTCAACAATACTTCTGAGTGCCCTCTGAAGCAATAAAAGTTGGGGGAGGGATAGCTCAGTAGTTTGAGCATTGGCCTACTAAATTCAGGGTTGTGAGCTCAATCCTTGAGGGGGCCACTTAGGGATCTGGGGCAAAATCAGTACTTGGTCCTGCTAGTGAAGGCAGGGGGTTGGACTCAATGACCTTTCAAGGTCCCTTCCAGTTCTAGAAGATAGGATATCTCCTTTAATTTATTTAAAAAGAAATAGCACCCAGTCCTTTTGCCAGAAGTGTTCTGACACACATATCTCTCTGGTGTTTGTGTTTGTTGCTCTGACATATGCACTGTCATTGAGCGGAGAGGAACTCAAAATGCTTTAAGGGCAGCAGAACACAGCTGGGTTACAAATAAGGAAGCAAGAGAAGCGGTGATAATTTCAGCTCTGTTTATAAACAGGAAGAGCAAAATCTCTGCTTGTCATGTGGAAAGCGACAAAATCAGCAAGAAAAAGCTCTGTTATTTTCAAGCTTTGAAGGAGGTTAATAGAAATTACTTTAAAAACCGGTGTAAACCGTAAAAAGTATCCTAAGGATTATGCCTTTGTAAACAAATGGGATGATGATGATGATGATAATACTTGGATTTTATATGATTCCTGTCGCCCAAGATTTACTAATAGTAATTAAGCAACATCCCTCTGAAGGAAGTATTACTATACCCATTTTACAGGTGGATACACTGACTCACAGACAGGTTAAGTGCCTTGCTTAAGCTCACATAGCCTGAAATTTACCCTTGTATTCTGAGCCAGCACATCATCTAGGCACCACTCGAGTCCCATGTCAGGTCTCCAACCAGGACAAGGAAGAGACAGAACAATACACAGGGCGAAACAAAGCCTCGGAGTCCATTAGAGGGAGAGGGGCACTACTGGGCTACAAGTTGGAGCAGGGCTTTGGGCACCAGGACTCAGTTCCTAGCTCTGGCTCAGTGTGGATGAAATTCACTCCCTGTGCCAAGGCCTCTGTTCGAGGCTTATACACCACTCAAGGCCCACTTCAGCCCTTAAAGATATGCCCCAGGCCCTGAACCGTACTTACCGTCTATGATCAGGGAGGCTCTCTGCGTTGGCTTCTTTCCAGATTTGATGCGGTACTCATTGATGGCGTTTTCGATCTCCTGCAGTTTCTTTAGGGCATTAAGGTAGGAGGTTTTCCTTTGTTTCTTCAGCTTTTTGCTGACGTTGGGGTCACTGGCCAGGCGCCGGGCAGCCTCAGTGATCTGGGACTGAATTGCAAATTCCCTCTCCAGGCGCTCCAGCTCCGCTTCCTGTCAAATTGGGAAGAGATTCTGGCTGTCCTGGCTGCAAGCTGTCGTGGCCAGATCCTCAGCTGATGTAGCTGCATGGCAAAGCTCCCCTGACTTCAACAGGTCTATGTCGCTTTACACTGGCCGAGGATCTGGCCCTAAATGGCACTTAACAAGAGACGAATCCATCTACCAACCTGCCCCTATCTCGACCACAAGTGCATTGTTAGGCCAACCAGTGCAACTGCTCCTCAAGCTCGTGCGCACTTGCTCACATGAGAGAACTCATGACTTCAAAGGGCTGCACAAGGTTGCACAATCTAGCCCAGTGGTTCTCACCCTGCCGCCTGCGGGCCGCCCAATCAGCACAGAGCTGCGGCCCATGTGACATCCTCAGGGCATATGCAGCCCACAATGGTAAGTAGGTTGAAAACCACTGATCTAGCCCTTATTGTGTGAGGATCGTCAACACTAAACTCAATTCATTCCGGCTGCTGGCCCAATATGTCTGTGTCTGCTATTTGTCTTGCAGAACAAACTCATGTATCCTTATGTGGTGGTGTCTGAATGCCAACCTCTTTTCTACGCATATTTCTAAGGTGTCTGTCACCATGGTGACCGAGTGCTGTATGAAAATGAAACATCAGGATGTTGCACTGATAAATCCCAATGCAAAGTCATGACATTTCAACATAATGTTACGGGTTAGCACTTGTATAACACTTGTATAGTGCTGATCACCCGTTGAACTAATTCAACCCAAATTCAAATTCATCCCAGTTCCAATCCAATTCTACCAAACGTCATTAACATGAGGCGATACATAAATGCACCGGGACACAATGTCAGCATGAGACATCACAGAGGTGTGATATAATGAGGCCATGCGCAAGGTACGGATGTGTAATGGTTTTAATAGAAGGCCTTGGCCATGCCAGAGAGCCAAAAAGTTACATCCTGTTTGGCCATAGCAGAGTTAAACTGTGCTTAAGCAGGGTTAACACAGTTAGGGCCAGGTTCTCAGCTGGTGTAATTGGCAGTGATACGTTGACATTAAGTCAGTGGAGCTATGTCAGTTTAACACCAGCAGAGAATCTGACTCTTTGCTTGTAGCCCGTGAAGATGACAACATGGGTTGGAATTTTCATAGGGGTCTGGCTCTCTTACACACCCAAGTCCTATTAACTTTCAACGGGATTTGAGCTGCAAATTAAAACATTAGCTTTGCTAAATGCTCAGTGCTCAGATTGCAAGCACTTTTAGTCACATATTCAGCGAAACCCTATTGTTAGCCATATTCAAAACCTCTCAGTTTACCAACATGCATACACAGAGCGGTGGATGCTATAGGAATAACCCCGCCTCAGACCGGAATGGCTCCTTGAAGTTTTCATTTTGGGCATCTTGGCTTCAAAATCCCTCTGCTGTCAGTGGTGAGTCAGCATTGCTTTAAATCTATAATTATAGCTCCTCTCACGGTCCTGCCAGCTGAAGGCCTGGTTTTGTTTTGTAAAATGAGTTTTGCTTTGAAGATTTTATAAACTCTGTCAAGACTAAACTTATTAATGGTGCATTCGACACAATGGAGGTTTAAGACGGAGAGCCCGATCTGACTTATTCTGGCAAAACGCCCACTGAAAGTAAGCAAGGGTGGATTAAGGATAGTGCTAAGAGCGATTAATAATAAATCCAGCTAGGGCTCAGCCTTGCAGTCCTTACTCAGACAACACTCCCAGTGAAGATACTGAGAGCTTGGCTTCAATTGCAGCTTCTGGCCTTAATGGTTTTTTTCTAAATCACCCTTAACCTCATAAACAGCTGTCTTCATTTGCCTCTCCCCCATTAATCTCTTTTCTGATGGATGCCTTTATGCGTGCTGCCTTGGAGCACCAGGGAAGTCATTTGCCTTGTTGCCAACTCTCATGACATTTGATGTTTTACTCAAAGCCCCAGCTTCTGGAATCATGTGATCCTGAGAGAATCTCCACTTTCATTAAAAAAAAAAAAGTTTGTAGCCCTCATGGTTGCAGATCAGAGCTTGAAAACATGAGCCCTAAAGGCTCAAAAATCAGAAGACAAATCAGATCCCAACTTTTATCCTTTTTAAAAAGTTCATGATTTTTAAGACAGTCTCATGATTGGGGGCGGGGGGGAGGGGGAGAGGCAGAGTCAGCATTTTTTAACGCTTGAGGTTGGCAATCCTGTTTTACTGAAATGTATATTACCTGCAAAGGTGGAGAGTGGCTTTATCCGCTTTCCCTACAGAGGAGAATCATTCTCTTGCACGCATGGACCGTGCATCACTATTAATGGAAGGATCAAGAGGAAAACAGACTCCATCCAGCGTCCTTGGCCTGGAAGCCATCTCTTAACACTAAGGCCAGGTCTACACTGGCAGCGGCGTGTAGCATACGTGTAGTTACATGCTGCACTGAGAGACAGGCTGTGTCCACACTGCAGTGTGTAGCTACACGTGTTAGGGAAAAGCTTTGGCAAGGGGAGGCAGTGGGAAAGGCTTCATCAACTCCCTGCTGTCAGAGCCTTTCACTCAGACTCTACACTGCCATATACCTGTGCTGGGAGGGGGGCTGAATGCATACAGTACACGCCGCCGAAAAAGGTGCGCGTTGTAGACGTACCCCCAAGACGAGACATGAGAATTTGAAGATCCATTTATAACACTGCAGCAAACAGCGTGTAAAGCTTTTAGGAGTCAGGGCTTTCCTTGTAAAAGCCTAAAGAAAACGTGCTGTCTCATGAGTATTTTACTTCAGTGGAATTCCTCTCACAGGCTCCATCAAACACAAACCCCAAGAGCTTTGGTTGTTCATGGTTTAAGCAGAAAGAAAATGCTAACAACACAATAAAGGGTTAATTCTCCAGCTGACTCCGACCTTAAACCACAGATTCATTCTCTTCTATTATAAAAATAAAAGGAAACTCAAAACTAGACTATCCACAAGTGTCTTGAGACCAGTCTCCACAGACAATGGCTTTTCTGTGAATTCCGGTCCCGCCTTACAGCTGCTCCAGGGCTGTTTTCACAGCCATGATTCAAGGCACTGACCCAGCCAATTGTGGGAGAGAGAGCACAGAACAAACACTCCCAGGCAAACTTACACAAACACAAGTCAAGCTGTCCAGAGGCAGGGAGGATGGCTCCTTTGTTTAGGAGGAGGAGGTAAAGTGCGTTTGTCTTGCAATCACAGGTTTTGATTTGAAAGAATTGAACTGACACTTTATTAAAGGACTTTGGCGGAAACGGTATCGATTTTAGTACTGAGTAAGGACTATTGCAGGAAGGGAGGGAGAACAGCTTGGAACACTCAAAATGATACCAGAAGTGGTTTGAAAGACCAGAGCAACTCAGAACCCAATCCTGCTCCCCTTGGTCACATGAGTTATCTGGACCTGCACCAGCAATGTCATTCAGCTACCGGTGTGATTAAGGGCAGCTTGCATAGTTAACGCGATCAGAGCCATAAATGACTCACCCAAAGCTACTTCCATTTGCCTGTGTCAGAGCCGGGACTGGAATTCAGGAGTTCCTGGCTCCCAGTCCTATGCTCAGACCAGCATGTTCTCTCACCTCTTCCTTCTCCCAAATACAAGCAAAGATGAGTAAATGAATAATATAAAAAAAAGTTAAATTAAAAATTGTGGTTCCCGAGTAATAGGCTGAGAGATGTCCTAGACATAAGATAGATAGATAGATAGGACTGGACTGGAAGGCAAGTCCTCACCTCTCCTTTAGGCAGTATTTTCTGTTCATCCAGTTTAAAGGCCGTCCCTATTCTTCTCCTTACAATAGGTGGCTCCTCCCCTGGATCTAGGGGGTATTCCCTGGGCAGCTTTCCTGTGAGCTCCTGAAAACATAAGATGCTATTAGTGAGGAGGGGAATATGCAAAAGCAAACCCATCCCATGTATATTTTTAAAGTGCAGTAACACGCTGAAAAATGATTGTAAAAATGGCTCGGCCAGGATTCCATTGTTTATCATCTTTCAGTGACTCCATATCAAATATGCTCAGTTGATAAATATACAGAAGGTTTTTCTAACTTCCAGGCCTGTGAGCTCAGCCTGTGCGCTGAAAGTCAAGCGGAGTTCTTTTTTTTTGGCTTGTGCATCATCAACAGGAATATATATTCTGCAACTAGAAGAAAAATTAACGTGATCTGTCTGTCTAGGGTCTTAGGTGCTGCCCACCAGCAGGATGTCAGAGCGCGATGCATGAGCCAGAACAGATCCCAGCTCACATTTCTTCAGCAGTGTTGTCTCTATACAGAAAACAGTTATTTTTGATGGAGAAGCCAGCAGATCTTACTCTGAATTCACACAAGGAGCAGAGCTGTCGAGTGCCACTTTTATAATCATTTTTCTGATCGTAACTGCATGTTAAAATACTACAATCTAATTCATGAGCTGTCTGAGACAGCTGCAGTGAAAAATGGCAATTTAAAGCAGTGCCTTGATACCTAAGTACCGGTATGATACCATTTTGTGAATTGAAATCCTGGCCAAACTCCAAGCTATTGGAGCAAGCTCAGTCTGAGAGGGTCATTCGCAAAGATTAGTGTGAAGCAGCAGACCCTGCAAACTTTCACAGCCAAGGGCTGTACACTGGAATAGATTTGAAGCAGGCAAAGGAGCAAGTGCCAGGATGGATGCTAACTCTGTGTTTTTTCTGATACGTACAATACATCTACCCCGATCTGAATTAAAGACATTCAAATGCCTGCAGAGAAAGGCAAGAGCGTTGCTACAAGGAACAACCCAGCTTCTCGAGCTGAACGGTCTCTGCAGTGAGGACAAAAGGCTTTTGTGTTCTGCATCACCAGCCTTGAGAGGATCCAGCTGGCAGAAAACTCTAAATCATCTGAATCCCATATAACAGCGGCTGACCTTAATGTGCAGCGTGGAGCTCGGCTCTCTGCCTCCCTCATGCCCCCACGACCCATTCCCTAATGGGGGCTTTCTTTCTACTGTTTTCAGGTCACTGGGAAATGAGGCCCTGGCCATTTCAGTCCCTCGCTTAAGCTTAAGCAGTTCCCAACACAATGAATTCCTAACCCAGCATTGCAATGAAGTGCACAATACCCCTTTTTCAAGGTTGTTTAAATGCTTCCCTCTCCAGAGGGGCTGTTTTAGAGCTTTTTCTGTAACACGTTTATCCTGTTGCACCAAATGGCTGGCTACCAATAGTGCATCAAGATACAGATTCTGGGTCTTTCTACTGAGCAGCAGAGGGATCCTTTATAACCCCGATCTTAACATGAAGTGCAGGGGTGGCGAACGAGTTACAACTTTAATGGCTCCTTTGCCAAGACTTTGCCCAAGGTTTTGTAAGGTTTTCATAAACTGAAACGGATTTACAGGCAGGGGCCTGAAATTTAATCTGAATTAATAAGTAAGTGAAGCAACATGATGCCACTGTTGTGAATGGTTTGGGCCATGCTAGTTTGATTAAGCCCATGCATTAACCCTTTTTTCTTCTCCTTGCCTGTCTCTGCCATTTTAACTCAGCAATTCCCACAGCAAACAAACCGATTCAGGACCTCCCGAGAGGAAATGTTTAAAATAAAAGAGCCAGTGAAACTTTTGACCACTTTCTGCAGCTGATCCAGGCTCAATGGTTTATGGACACTTGGGGTCTGACCTGATCCTGCAAACCTTACGCAAAAGAGTAGGCCCGTCGAAGCCAATTGAGACTTCATACATCAGGACTGCTCATGCGAGGAAGGGTTGTGGGATGAGGCCCGCACATATTTCCTCTGACATCCTTTGTTGAAAAGCTGTTTTCCTCCTGCTTAACCCAGCTGGTGATCAAGCCAGAGCCAAGTCTAAACAAAGCGCAATGAGGTTTTTAAAAAATGGGCAATGGTTTTTTTTCTGTTTGTTTGTTTTTTAAAGTGAAACGCACTTTAAATATCCCAGCAACTTAAAGATCCCAGTACCACTGCCCAGAGCCAACTCTCCCATTCTCTATTCCTGGCAGTGATTTTTGTTAAATCTGGATTTTTCCAGGCCTGGGAAACGGGTGTTATGTATGCACGTGTGATCGAAGTGTAAACTTCATATAAGCTGCTGCTAATATTTATTATGTTTCCAGGCACAAATGCAGCAAGGATCCTAACTTCTCCAGCATTTGAAATGGTTTTACATTCACGCTGACCCGCTTTAAAACAAGTCAGTTTAAATCAACCCCAACAATAATTAAACAGACATATGCCACGTACAATATGACCTCATCCTATGGCACCCCGTTTGCCCCATGGTGATATTTAGGGCAGAAAGGTGATTTTCTCTTGACAACGTTACCTAACATTCTCTTCTACTAGTGATACTGATGATGTAGCCAAGGGACCTCCTCAGCATTTGTCATGTTACATACAGCTCAGTGAAGGGAAGACCCCAGCATGTCGCACACAAGCTCACCCCAAACTGTGCTCTTTGTATTTGGGGGGGCCCCAAACTGTGGTGATTTAACCCCCATGCCAGGCAATGGGACTGCACTGTGAAATAGCTGGGCTTTGGCAGAGCATGCTGGGAAATGAACATGTAAAGTTCATTGCATCTGAAGAAGTGAGGTTCTTACCCACGAAAGCTTACGCTCCCAGTACTTCTGTTAGTCTTAAAGGTGCCACAGGACCCTCTGTTGCTTTTAACATGTAAAGAGTGCACCTGAGGCCATGTCTACACTAAGAAAAGAGGTGAGTTATCTCACGTGTTACAAACACACCTTTCTCCTACTGAAGATGAGGACCAAGTGGCATATACCGGGCCAGGTGACCACACTATGGCTAGACCGGATGTGCCATCTATAGGCCTGAGCCTATTCCCGTTGAAGTCAATGGCAGACTGCCCATTGGGAGCCCTGTTGAAGGACGGTGAGTATCTTCTAAGCATCCATCACTCATGATGACTTCAATAGGAGCTGCAGATGCTCAGCACCTTGCTGGATCAGGCCTTATGGGTGCACAACTGGCTTGGGCGTGCGTCCAGTTTCTCTAGTGTAAAAAGGGGCCTTGTGCAGCACTAGCTATGAAATGCCTGGGGATCACTCAGTCCTTGGGCCCCACACACTTTGCGAGATATGATTTAGGAAGGCTTTACCTCTCCTTCCAGGCTCCATCCATTTTCAAATGAGGCTGTGAGCATATAAAAATACAAGCCAGAACATTTTCCAGGGTTATACAATTTCTATTGCCTACCGCTTCTCGGAGACACAGTTTCTTTAGCTCCTCCAGTCGCTGGCGCAGTGTCTCTTCCAGAGCTTCCTGCCTGGATTTCAATGCAGCCAGCATGTCTTTCTTGGCAGACTGAGAGCTATCTGACTCTTGGGAACCTGTCAATAAACAATGATTTCACTAGGCCAGCTGACAGCAGAACACACATCTGGAGCATTAATGAATTTCACCAAAGCCTACACTTTGGATGGGAGCGTTCCAAAAAAGAATCAGACTATGAAATGAAGCAGGTGTTACACAGTCATGTTTGTTTATGACAAGTTCTTAATACTTAAACTAACAGAATGAGGTCAAACCTCTGAGCATAAAGAGATTTGTGATTCTCTTCTCTGTAAATAAAAACAATCAGGTAATTTTTTAAAGCTCCTCTTGAAAATACTACGTATAGTTCTTACGAAAGCTCCCAACAGCAAACAGAATTTACAAAGCATAGAAAACACATGTTCATAGCTTAAAGGCCAGAAGAGACCATCACAATCATCTATTCTAACCTCCTGTATAGAATTTCACCCAATGATTGCTGCATCTAGCCCAATTACTTGTGGTTAATTCTAACCACGCAGAAGAAATGTAGTAACCGAAGCTAGATTTTTGCAAAATAGAAACGAAGTTAAAAACCCCCAATAGCTAACAGAAGGTCTTTTCATGGCAGCTGTTGTTTCCCATGAATATATATGCCACGATGTTTAAAACTGGATGCATAAAACCATATTTAGATGCCTAAATAAGGGGTCTGATTTCCAAGTGACAAGCACCCAGCAGCTCCCACTGAAGTCAATGATATTACATTGTTGTAAATCCAGAATTAACTGACATCAGAATCTGGCCTTCAGATTTTGTGTTCATCTGTACTTTGATTCTTTTCAAAAGAGGTATTGACTGATCGCCTTATTTAATTTCACCGCTGAATGGCACACACATCTTTGTTCAGGGCCTCCCTGTTCAAGGGAGTTGTGATTTTGGTTGCATCCATTTTCGGGGGCCCAACTTGAGGCATCTTTAAAGGGGCTTGCTTTTCAGAAAGTGTTGAGCATCCAGCCTCTGAAAATCCTGGCCCTTTAAGGTGTCTCGAGATGAGCTCCACTTTCAAATCTAGTCCTGTCTACACTACAGGACTTAACTGCCATTCTCCTACACCAGTTTTCTGATGCTGCCTCTGCAAAGCAGTGGAGTGCAGAATCAGGCTCTTATTATCTACCTTAGTCAGATTTTCCAAAAGGCTTTAACCAAACCTCAGCTAGCATGCCTGTGAGCGTAAGAATGAAGCTTAGCACGCCTGCGAGTATAAGGACCTACAGGTGCACTTTCAGCACTGACACCTAAGCATGCAGTCAGTATTCTCAGTCTGGGTTTGTCGAAAGCTTTGCTGAGGTTCTGAAAACCTTTGGAGTGACTCTAGGGGCAAATTTATAGCTTTGCATCAAAACCTGATGAAACTTGTGCTTTCAGCTACATTTTGCTTTGAGTTTCTTTGCTCCTACTTTTCTTTCAGATACTTGAAGTGGGAAAAGGGACAACAAAATATACTGGAGGGAAACATCCCACACTAGCCCAAAGGGGGATGAAGCTTCTCCATCGCTACTTTCTGCGACTTGCACACCGCAAAACAACATGCGCTTGTTCTGCACAATGAGCCTCTCCTATGCAACGTGCGTGTATTTACAGTGTTTACTGGGATGTGTTGGAAGTGCAAAACCAGAATGGAGGTCTCTAGAGATCAGCTGGACTCTAGGACAGGATGGGTGCCCTTTTACAATGCGTCACCAGCAAAAATCAAGACAACTCAATGGGAACGTGGAGCGCATTTATCCAGACATGAAATTAAGAGCATCAAGTGGATTTCGCTCGCGTCTTTTTATAGCCTTAACCACAAGTAAGGCCCAGGGTAACACAAGTTCAAGCCAGGGAATGCTCCTAAAGGAATTTCCATTTTGCATTCGAGCTGGCAGGGTAAATCCTCTCTAGCACCTCCCTAATAATAATTGCAGCGAGCACTTACTGGCAGCGGGCGAACTGCTGAACTCTTCTGCTCCACGGCTGATGAACTGCTGACCTCCAACAACAAGCTGCTCGTGATTCCGGCAGATGTTTTGCTCCTTTCTTTTTCTTTTAGAGTAACTGGCTGGAGCCCTTTTTCCTTTCTCTGTTTTCCTTTCTCCTTCCGCTCTTCTCCCCACCCAAATTGAATTTATTTTTAAATTTTATATATATATAAAACCACCTATCACCACAGCAGCTAGACGGATGCTTCCGTTGCAACATTTAAAAACACATAAACTATATGCACCGCACCCAGCAGTTGGAAGCTTGACCTGACACCTCTAATTATGGGCGTGTCTACGCTAGAGAATTAAACTGCTTGTGTAATTGAACTGGTTGGACTGAACTGATTTAAGCACAGTTCATTGCATCCACACTAGCTGTGCTGTATCAGTTTAAAAGCCGGACTAGCCTTGTTCAAAACCCTTTCAGTTGCAATGCTTTCTGGGTACCCATCTCACAGTTCCTGGTATAGCTCCTAGAAGCAATGGATCTGGGAGATTTCAAAAGGCCACGGATATACTGTGGGATAAGTAGGGGGAGGACTAGCTGAACAATTTCAGCTTGTCCACATTCACATTGGCACTAAAGCAGTTCAGAATGAAATGGGTTATTAGACTAATCTACTCCAACCGGGTCTTCAAATGATAAAGTTGTGTAGCGTAGACAAGCCTTGTACGACTGAGGACAGGGAGTTCTTAGTTCAGGGCCCTCAATGCTAGACTTTGCTTGGTCTGACAGAGTCCATGTCTGTTAACCTCTCAGGCATTTTGCAAGATCTATCTATTACCAGAGCCCTTTTCTGAGGAGATAGGATGAGCTGGGCTTTCTGTTTGAGTTCTCTTTCATAATCCCCCCTTTTTTCTTAATGAACGTTTGGATTATTTTTGCATTTCCTAGGATTTTGTGGGCCTGATTCTCACCTCACTTGCACTGGTGTAAACCAAGAGCAAACTCCATCAAAGCCAATTGAGTCACACTAGCATAAGATGGCTGCCAGGGAGAGACCTCAGCTCTGTATTTTTGTGTGCCTAGAGTGTCCATGAGAAGCTCTGTATATACTGAGAAAATTACTGACGCTAGCAAACCTGTGACCACAGCCCCAAATGTCAGACCAAACGCAAATGAAGAACCAATAATCAGAACAAAGCAAGAGACCATAAAACAAACAAACAAACACTAAACCAAACCAACCAGCTAGATGCTACACAAAATAAATAGATCAGCCTTACTTAATGCCATTGAATTCAGGCCCACCAAGGCCTTCCAAAGAGGACTATTAGCTGAGAAAAGTTCACTTGCAAACTGATTTCCACCATACAAACCAAGAGAAGGTGCTTTCTATTGATCTCACCTGCCACGAGGAGCTACACCTTTATGCAAAAAGAACAGGATGCAGAAGTGGGCTGTAGTCCACGAAAGCTTATGCTCTAATAAATTTGTTCGTCTCTAAGGTGCCACAAGTACTCCTGTTCTTTTTGT